TCTTTGTGAGCTTTAGTTATTCATTTTTTAAAATAAAACTTTTATTTTTTTTAACTTAAATATTTTTGTTTATGTATTCCCATGATAAGTACCATGTGTATTTAAAAATATAACTTTTTTCTTATTTAGCTTAAAAATAGAACTTTCCTCTTAAGTTTATTAAAGAGAAGAAAATTTATGAGAAATCAAAATAAAATAAACATAAGAATTAGTCAAATAAATTCATAAATAAAAATTATATTTATATAGTATAATTTTTTAATAGAAAAATATGTATAATTATCATAAAAATAAGGAGTAGTAAATATTATTATACATGGTATTAAAAAAAATGTAAATATACATAAATGTAAAAAATGATATATAAAAAGGATTTAAAGGGACATATTTGTCATTTACCTATTCTATCTCGGGATAAGTTATCCCGGGATTACTATACCACCCATGGGGAGGGATAACTTATCCCGGTACTAATTATTAATCCCGGGATAAGTTATCCCGGACTTGCCAACCAAACAACATAATTTTTTTTTTATCCCATCACTATTTCCTTATCCCATCACTATTATTTCTAATCCCTCACACCAAACGAGCCCTAAGAGAATATAATGGTAGTTTGGTACAGATAAAGATGTATGGAACACAGAAAATGAACTTTTGAGGTTTTATATATATGTGTGAAATACAATACTCTTTATGTCCCAATTTGTGTGACACTTTTCGTTTTCTGAGAGTCAAACAGTTTAAGTTTGATCGAAAATTTGCGCGAGGGATCTTCAATTTTTTTGAAATGAAATTTATATATTTGTAAACTACGTAAAAAGTACTATAAGTCACAATAATTGACAATTCAAAATAATTAAAAGATATATGAAAAAATTACAATCAAAGATAGACTTGTTTTAATCTCGAAATCTAAAAAGTATCACATTATTTGGGACGGAAGGAGTAATATATGATATACATTTTGCACTATGTTTTCATCCTCACATTATTAGCCTTTGTTGTTTTACTTCTTTAAAATTGGGATACTTTTCATACGACTATATATGTAGGGGTCGTTTGGTGTGATGGATAAAGGGAGTTAATCTCGAGATAAATTTTGAGCATCCTTTAATCCTTTGTTTGGTTGTACATCATGGGATAACTTATCACAGGATTAATAATTAGTCTTGTGATAAGTTATCCTTATCTTTGGGTGGAATAGTAATACCGGGATAACTTATCCCAATATAAGATAGAAAAAATGACAAAAGTGTCTCTTTAAACTCTTTCTGTACCTCACTTTTTATATCCATGTAAAATCATATATTATTTTAAATATCATGTATAATAATAGTTATGACCTTCACTACTCCTTATTTTTATTATAATAATTCTTCATATTTTTTAAAAAAATTACACTATATAAATATAATTTTATTTATGAATTTATATGACTAATTCAGTAATTCTTATGTTTATTTATATTTTAATTTAATTTCCTTACTATCGAATTACATATTTTTAATTGTATATTCTTTTAGCCACTTGAAAATTTATATTTTATATATCAATTAAAATGAGAGATAAAACGAAATGCTACGGTACTGAATACAAGCTTCCCGTGCAGTTTTCTCTAAAATTAATTTATATTGGTATTCTTTTTAGCTAGATCTTTTGTCTATTTTTTATATTTTTTTGTTATCTTCTTTTCATCTCATGTACGCTAATTTCAGGAAGAATTCTATTGTTAGTTCACATAAATTTTTAAGGAAATAGTAACATGAAAGATGATTTAAAAATGAAGATAACTTTAGTATTTTACAATTTAAGAATGATACGTGTTTAAATGAAGTAACATAAATAATAAATCATTTTGTACTTTAACAAATTTAGATGAAAAATTTATTCTTAAATACATTTGGTACAATTATGGAAATGCACACACAAAAATATTTAAGCTAAATAAGACAAAAAAATATTTTTAAGAATAAATAACTATGGCTTGAAAAGAAAATATATATAAAAAAAAAACTAAATAAATTGAAAGGTATTTTCGTAAACAAACAACTTATTCTTAGAATTTATGTAATGCATATTGTATTGAAAGCAACCAACCAAACGGTCAATAAGAAATAATCCCAGCATAACTTATCTCATCCTAACTTATTCCAGTATAACTTATCCCATCATAACTTATCCCATCATAACTAATCTCATCATAACTTGTATTCAAACCAAACGACCCCGTAGAGTATGAGGTTAGAGCAAATATTTGTTGTTTAAGGTTGGTTTGGGGGTGCGGGTGATTAATTTTTTATAAAAATTGAGATGCATGAAGTCGTATCATAAAAAGTAATGACGGACCCAAGATTCTCATAAACCGGTGTCAATGGTTATAGTAAGAAAATTAAAAAATATAATTATGAGGCCACAAGACTTGAATACACAACTCTAAGGAACTTTTGCAATCCCTTAATCACTAGACTAAATCTCTCACTTGTGTCAAGGGATGTCAATACTTTTATATATATTTATTAAACCAAAATTTGACCTCTTAATTTTCCGGCGAAGGGGTGTTGCCCCTGATAAAAAGTTGATCTTATAACAGCGGTGGCATTTGATAGTTGTGGAAGATGATAATGATAAACTAATGATAGTGGTTGACAATATATAGTGCGGTGATTAATTGTGTTGATTGGTGATTATTGTAATAATGATTGTAAATGATGACTAGTGATATAGTGATAACTATTTATAATGATTGACTATAAAAATTATTGTTGTTTGTGAATGAATGAAATTGATGAACCATCATTTTGAAGAAATTTTTAAATAAATATTTTAATGATGTCAAATGTTACGAATCTTAATTATTCAAAATCTATTTAGACCTATTTAATATTGATTGAAAACATAAAACAAAATTTCACTTAATAATTAAAAAATTTATAACTAAAATTCCAACATAAAAAACGAGCTTAATAACTGAAACTTGAGTAGTTAAAACTAAGACCTTAAGTGCAAGTAAATAAGATTTTAATACATCAATTAAAAAAATATAAATATAAAATAAAATTGCCATTAAAAATAGTATTTGAGCGGGGTTAGCTGGAGCGAAGAATATTTTAATTTTTTATTTATGTATAAGAGATGTTATTTTAAAAAAAAAAAATCATATATTATTTTTTTTATATTTTAAATTTATTAGTTCGTCACGATTTTACTGTCGGTGAGAAACAATTTTTATTCAAAAAATGTTAGCAAATATTTGATCGACCGAATATACTCCGAGCAAAAAAGCATCTTCTTCACTAAGTTCCAAAATATAAGAGAAACTCCTTAACATTTTGTGTTTAATGGTGTTATTTCCTTTTCTTGGTAGGTTTTACACTTACTTTATTAACTGTTATGTTAGGGATAAGGGTCTGAAAAATATTTTAACTTTGATCGAATTTGTTGTTGCGATATTAAACTTTCATGAGGACCTATTACCTTCCTAGACTATTTAATACCGTATTTTAAACATATATATTTGCCCACGTGGACATAAAAAATAATGCAAAATTATAAATAGTAATTTGTCCACGTGGCACATATATATCTTTAAAATACACTATTAAATAGTTCAGGGGTAAAAAATACGATATTAAATAATCTAGGGAGGTAATAGGTCCTTATGAAAGTTTAGTATCGCAACAGCAAATTCGACCAAAGTTGGGGTATTTTTCAAACCCTTATCCCGTTATGTTATGATCTTCATTGATTGATATTTAAACAGTATCGTATATTGTATTGATATTATTAAAGTTGATAATTTCTCTTAATTGATACACGCTGAATTGGTATTATTAAAATTTCTTGTTCAGAAATTACTCATTAGTCAATAATATTATAAGAGTATACGTATCTTGTTGTGGTATCATTAAGATTTCTTATTGAAAAATTACTCATTAGTTAATGATAATATAAGACTGTAGTATATTTTTATAGTATCATTAAGGTTTCTTGTTTTGAAATTACCCATCAGTCAGTGATATTATAAGAGTGTATATATATATACTGATTTAGTATCAATTAAGCGAACTTATCTCCCTTAATGATATCAATACAATATATGATACTCCTTCCATTTAAAAAAGAATGGTCTCATTTCCTTTTTAGTCAGCTTAAAAAATAATTACCTCTTTCTTTTTTTGATAACATTTTAATTTCAGTTTTCCATGTGGCATGTTTAAAGTCACAAGATTAAATGACAATTTTGTATATTTGACATTACTTTAATTTAGGACTACAAGATTCAAAAGTCTTATTTATTTTCTTAAACTCCGTGTCAAGTCAAACTAGACCATTCTTTTTTAAACGGAGGGAGTACTTATTTAATATCAGTGAAGCGAAATTAATGATACCCAATAAAGTATATGATACTTATTTAGTATCAGTTAATCAAAATTAGTTAGGGATATATAGTGTAATTATTTAGTGGGTATGAATATAAAGAGATATATGTTAGTACTCCCTCCGTCCCATTTTATGTGAGATAGTTTGATTCGAAACGGAGTTTAAGAAAAAAAAAGGAAGACTTTTAAAACTTGTGGTCCAAAATGAATGATAGAAATTTATGTGACTGTAAATCATTTCATTAAGGATAAAATAGACATTTTATAGTTAAATTGTTACTTAATATAAAAATGTGTGTTTTTTTTTTTACTGACTAAAAAAGAAAATAAGTCACATAAATTAGGACATAGAGAGTAATTATTTTGCTTTTATGAGATTTTTTGCTTAATTTCTGTTATTTTTTAATATGTTTTTATCTGTGTAGTTGTTAGGTTAAATATTGCATGTGTTTTTCCCGAAGCTTCGGCGTAATCGCACGCGCTATTATCCAGTTTATCTGAGAGTTCAGATCTTGCCACGTGTATTTCCGTACAGTACAAATAGTATCGGTTTCTATATTCTCCCTCTTTTTAATTTTTGTTTTGTTGCTTTCTTCTTCTTCTTCCTCTTGTACAAAATTTAGCTCTTCAATCTGCAAAAATCTATGTAGATTCACTCCAATGCAATCTCCAACTACCTCTTCAATTCTGTAAGAAACAAATTCTTGTTCAAATTTATAGTATCAAAAATGGAGGTGGAGAGGTGGGTTGGGTTTGTTGAATTGATAAACAGGCCAGCTATAATGGAAACATTCGTCGACATTTTGGTTTGCGTTGTACCGATTTGGGTTGCCATCATGATCGGATTGTTGATCGGCTGGTCTTGGCGACCTCGTTGGACCGGCCTTGTATTTTTAGGACTCCGGTCTAAAATCAACCGCTTTGTTTGGACCGTTCCTCCCGGGTTTGGTGCTCGCCGACTCTGGTTAGCCTTTACTGCTCTTTCGGCCTTCTCGGTTGGTAGGAAACTCTGGTTTAATTTCCAGGGGAGTACACGTAAGCCTTCGGCGCCGGCGGCAGCGGATTCGGGTTCTGTGTCGGCGGATGAATTTGGATCGTCTTCAGTGGTTTCGGGTCCGGGTCTGGGTTCGGTTTCTTTTGCGCAAAGGAACGATGATTCCATAATCAGGTATGTTGTTAACTTGATCTCATTTTCTAACATATGCATGTTTTTATTTCTAGGGTTTCGATTTGAGTTGGATGTAAATGTGTTTTCGTGCAAAACGCTAGGAATTTTAGGGATACTTGCATATCTGATATTGAAACTAAGATTGATTGCTATATTTTGTTTTATTCGTTATAAATGAAGGCAAACAAACTTGTTTATTGTGCTTTTCTTTTTTCTGTGAAATTTCGGCTTCATTTATTGACTACAAGTTTACTGTTTCAATGCTCTTTGAACGGTCTATGCTGTTGCTTGTAAAGTAATTGGATTCGACCAGCTATAGTTTTTCCTATTTAATGGGAATAGTAGGTCATCGGTTAGTGTGCATTTACACTTGGGAGTAGATGGAAAAAGTTCTCTAGTACAGAATCAAATCTGGGGATCGGTTATGGTGTGTCTATGTTTGCTGTTGAAGAAGAACACAAAGGCCCAATGAAGTTTCTGCATTGTATTTGATCTGATCATAGCTGATTACAGTGCTTTACAACACTTTATAATCTGCCTGTACATTGTACTGCAAGTGTTTCTGGGCCACCTACGTGCAGTTACTATATTAGGATGATTGAAAGAAAGCAATGTATTTTTAAAAAAATGAACTTGAATTTGAAGAAAGTGCAGTGCAGTGCTTTGAATTTGAACTTTGAAAGTTGTGAAAGTTGTATCTTATGTATTTTATTTCAAAGTGTGATGGATATTTTGGTATGTCACAAACTTGAATGCAGGTCACATAAGTTGGTATAGACAACACGTATGGTATTGTTGGTCAAAGGTGGATATTGTTTTGTAGTTACCGTTTCATAAAAAAATTCTGCTTAATCTGATTCTTCTTGCTTCTGAGCTTTAATTTTGACACGCAATAATGCAAATGATACAATCATCAGACTTCCATGAAAAAAACAATACAATCATCAGACTGAAGGTAATTCTAATTTCTAAACTCTCCCTAGAAAGGAGCTTAGTTTCATTCAACTATATGTAGTTTTTATCTGTAAGATCAGGATCTGTGCTCGGCTTTTTTATTGTTTAGGGGGTGTTTGGAAACTTTGGATTGGCTTTTTTTAAGTAGCTGATAAGCTAAAAGTCATAAGTTGGTCATACCCAATTTTTGGCTTATGGCTTATTTTTGTACTTTTTTGGCCTAAGAGTAAGTGCTTAAAAACACTTTTTTGTCTTTCCCAAACACCTCCAAAAACAAAGAAGAGCTTAAAAGCCAAAAGATACTTAAAATAAGCCAATTCAAACATCCTCTTTGAATGAAATGGCGGTGTTCAGAAAATGAGGATCAAATCATCTAATTTTCAGTGTGAATTCAGCGTTAATTCCTTTTTTTTGGTTGTAAAGTTTATGAATTGAAATTATTATTCTTTCACTTCATTTGCTTTGCCCTAATCAAATGCCCTAGCAGTATTACTATTGAAGTTGGTTGTTCAAATAAAGTTCCTGAGTTTAGTTGTCATAAAACTGCAGAAGATTTATATCAACTCATGTGAGAATATTCATTAAGGGGCTTTATGATATTGAGACTTCACCCGTTAAGGAATGGCTTATGTGAGACTGACAATTTATGAAGGAGCTTTAGAATAATGGGAGTTCACACCTTCTTAAGGAATGAGCACCTGCAAACTCAATAGTTCCTATTCTATAGATCTTTGTGCTATACTTATACTGCTAGTAGCACTTTGAGTCTTTGTTTTCCTTAAATCATTTGAACATTCCAGGTCAAATGGATCTAAGAGAATTTTTGAATGCTTATTCATTAGGGTATTGGTTTTGAAAGGTCTTTAGAGACCAAAGGTTGTGAGCCTTATAAATTATTGAACTACCCATATGTAAAACCCTGCAATCTCACGTGTAAACCTGTGCCATCTTTATTTATCGACAAAAAATGAAAACAAACTCATCTCATCTGTGCCGTGAATAAAGCGTTTGCGTGGAAATGCCACCGAGGTCCATATTTGCAATTTGTGATGATGCTGGGAGTTGTGGTATTAATGTGACAAAAATAATTACCTTCTAATCCACATTGAGTCACTACCTTCCAACTGATGCACAAGTGCTTGCTGATTGTTAAATAAGTTTGGTCTGCGACTTGTGTTCACTTCTGTGGTTGAATTGGGTAATAACAAGTCAAGCTCATACACATACTTATAATGCCCAACCCCCACCCCACCCCACCCAAAATAAAGGTTACAAGTTCACGAGTGAAATTAAGTGCATTGTTCTGTACAGCTATTATTGTATCAGATGTAATGTACTGTAGTTATGACAAAGTGGTATATGTGGATGCTTATTTTAACCCAGATTCATTTACCACTTTTTTCCACCTCTTGATATTGGAAGCCGATTTACTATTTGAGGGGTTAGAAAAGAGTATTTGCTTTGCCAAATGGGATTGCTTCAGGAGCAAGAGCACTTCGCCATTAACCAGGAGGCTTGGAAATTTTGAGTCACCAAGGGAGAAATATGGAAAGGACAGTGGTTGATTTCTGGGCGTGGGTGTTTGTGGGGTGGAGTTTACCATACTAGAAAGTAGTAAAAGAGAAGGAATAAGCCACTAAATTTCTGTTTCTTATGTAGTTAGAATTTCTTTACCTCTATGAGTTTTATATATTGTAATTCTGATAATACAAAATTGCTAGTTTTATTAGACTTTCTCTTTCATCAAATTGTATAAACTGTGATTGTTCAAACATCTTTGGTTCCTTTTATCTACTTATTTATGTTATACCAATCGTTTTTTTCCCTATTTTTGATCTTCTGCCGAGGGTTTAAAACAGACATTATGGATTTTCTCAAAGATACAAAGATCAGGCACCCAAGGGTGTGCCTTGTGGTCAATGAAGTGGGTTGGGAACCATGAGGTCTCACATTCAAATTCCAAAAATACTAGGTGATTTCTGTTCATCTGCCAAGCCTTGGTAGGCAGAGTTACCCAATACCTGTGTTGGTAGGAGGTATCCTATGAAACTAGTCAAGGTGCGCGCAAGCGGGTCTAGACACCATGGTTATGAAAAGAAGTCTAAAGATCCCACTAAACCTCGTTGCAGTTTTAAACAACTGTTTACCTTTCTGAAAAACTGAGTTGTTTACTTTTCGGTTGTCATATTTTTAGGAAATGATTTGCTTCATATTTTACAAACTCAAGACTTGGGGGCGGCACCTTTGCCTTCTGCTCGTGCTAATTGCGAGATGCATGTAAATTATGGCAGTGACTTATAGGGCCATTTGTTTGGGTAATCGGAAATTTGGGGGAGTACTTTGTGACTGAACTCTGATTCTTGATTCATGAGGGTGCAGCCCATATGATCCTTACAGGGGACTGTTCTGTGGCATGCTATTTGGATATTTATTCATCATGAAGCTATACACTAATGTCAGAAAAAATCCATAATTTTTAATTCCAGACGCAAGCACTATCATTACACTCATATCTCTGAGTTTCTAGATCTTAGCAATTCTCTTGCCTAGTCCATGTGCATCTGCAATACTTTTTCTATTTACTCCTGGAAAGATGCCCAGAACCGACAATCATGATTTCTTCAATAATTATCCGTTTCTAGTCAATCTCTCTGCCTTATCCCTCTCCCTCAATATCCTCAACCAGTCAGTCTGCTTTCTTATTCACCGGATACTGGGTCCAAAGAAGCATTACCTTCATCAGATGAGATTTTGTTTTGATCTGTGCTATCGTCTTTCCATTAATTGAATGCATACCTACTTCTTCACAGATTTCTTACTAATCTTGTTAACACATCCTGAGGAAGTTTAGAGTTGGAGACTCGTGATTGTGCACAAACTTTTCCTGATATGTTCTGGTATGAAGATTAGGAATCACGTGTTGGTGTGGCTGTCAGGGTTTTGGTTCAGCGGAAAGACACAGCACATTATGTGTGGGTTGGGCATACTTTATGAGTTTGAACCCTGCCACCAGCAGCTGAAGCTTGCTATTTAAGTGGGAGCAGGGAGGAGGGGTGGTGCCCATACTCCCCCCGAGTTTCAAACTTGAGTGCCAACTGCGATTGGATCAGTTAACTTGCAGAGGATTTCTCAGTTACAAATAAATTACATTTTGTCTGTAGCATATTTTGCTTTCCTTTGTTGTTTGATGCAATAAGTAGTTTCCTGGAATTGAATTAATCTGGGAAGAAATCGTAATTGACAACTGCCATTGTTCAATGTTTACGAGAAATGGAGCTGTTCAAATTTACCAGTAGTTCAGTATAATTTCGTGATGCATTAAATACAGTCTTTATCTGCAAATCATGGTTCTGAAGTATATACGGAATTTAAAAGTTTGTCTTCTGCATTGAATTGGCCTTTTTTCTGTAGTATTGAACAAGATATGAAAGAGTATTTGTGTTATTACAGTTCTAGGGAAGAAGTTGGTTGATTTAAACAAGAATTATATAAACCTAATTAACTGTCTCCTTAGAAATTGTGTTGAGTGTTGAATGATCAACTCTATATAGAGCTTTCTTTACTGGCACATTTTTCACCCCTTTAGATTATTTTTGTCCCTTCATATGTTTAGAGACATGACAGCATCTACTCCATTCCTGCAGGCATATTACTGGATCGGAAAATGAGGACATTGTGACAGAGAGAGATCTGGAACACTTTCTACATCTACTAGATGGAAAGGATGGAGAGATGGCATGGCAAACCATGATGGACCGCTCTACTTCAAACTTCACATACCAAGCTTGGCGGCATGAACCCGAGGTCAAGTTTACCTAAATTGTGATATGGTTTTTCTTCAGCATTTCTGGTTTTAGAACCATTTTTCTTGAGAATTGCTTGATCCTAACTTCTACATTCATCACAAAACTTCATAAGCTGAAAGGCTGAGAGGGTGTCGGCTAAGCTTATAAGCTGTTTAGATTGACTTAGAAGCATTTTTGGGCTGATCTATGCGTTTGTTAAATATTATAAGTATTCTAAGCCAAAATCAACCAAAAATCATAGGTTGATCATCCCTAACTTGTGATTTTTCAGCTTATGAGCACTGTTAGCTTGGCCAGATTTACCATTTCATCCTTGAGTATTTTTCTAATTTCCAAAATACCTTTCCTAAACAAAACCCTAACTTTCTCTTCACTTAGTATATCTCGTTCACCATTTTCTTGAAAAGAATAGCTCTAAAAAATTTAAATTTTTTGAAAAATTTGTAAGGTTATTTGTTCATTTTAGCAAAAGAACAGCTTATCAACATATTTTTTTACCAGATACATCAACTACTTATCATCAATTTCATCACTCCTATCCAAACACGCTACTGTCTTTTTATAAAGTCAACTGTGTATTTATTAAGTCAGTTTCAGCATTTAAAGTTTGTTAATGGTTACAATCAGCTTAACCCAAATGGGTTCTAAGATTGATTAGGATTCCTCAGAAACTACTATCTCCTTTTTGACCCGTAACGGAACTGGTATTTGGAAGCTTTAAGTCCAGCTTTAATAATGTCACAACTTAAGAATTTCCGTAGCACAACATAATCTGCCTGAAGCTATTTATATGTTTGATACTTTAATATGACGTGTCTAAGCCATGTTCTTTAAGCAGCTCAATTTCCATTTGATGTCTTGATGTTCCAAATGATCCAAAGGCTCAATTTCCATTTAGGTTCAGGTTGCTTAGGTAAGGTTTCTTGTTTTTGGGGCAAACTGTAGAACCCGTCTGCTGATAATTTAGTAGATGACATGATATCAATTTGCCTTTTTCATATAACTTATAAAAGCATGAATACGTAATAAAACTTCTCTTGTTTCATAGAACTGATTGGTTTCTGGTGACAGACTCGCTGCTCTTAAGCAATGAGTCCCTTGCGGACACAACTTTAGATTCTCATTTTAGCAACCTCAGAATATATCCATTTTTGCTTGCTGGATATGTCTTCAGTATTTTTTGCCAAATATAAGGAGGTGGGGGGGTTGACATGTTTTAGGGATATGGGAAACACTTCATATTATTATTTTGACATGGGAAAATAACGTCATAGACCTAGCTTGAGGAGACATGTGTCTCTGCTTAAATTGCTCCGTGATTTTGATGTTTTTGTTGGTTGTATAACTGTATGGCTACATATTTGATTGATTTATTCCTTTTGCTACTTTCAAATCCTCATATGGATTTGAACTATTACAGTTACATACTGGAAAAATACGTAAGTTGGAAAAAGAGTTCTATTTTTTCATTTGCTGTGATCCTCTGCGAACCAGATCATTTTTATGCTCTTTAGCTAGATACGAATATCCGATGTTGAACTTACTGGAGTAAGTATAAACCATTCTCTTCTTTGAATCTTTTTAATCTGTAATTCTCAAGCCATAATTGCTGGTGTATTGCATGATTTGCAAGGTGACTTTGCCTATGACCAAAGGCTCTTTATCCATACGATTAATTTAAATTTTCTTTGAAAGTTCTCTGTTCTCTCTTAGTGATTTTAAAAGAACCATTCTATTTGTCAGATGGGCCCAACAATCTACCGAACCAAAACTGTTTTTGAAGATGCAACTCCTGATTTAGTCAGAGATTTCTTCTGGGATGATGAGTTTAGGCCGAAATGGGACCCAATGCTTGGTTATTTCAAGATATTGCAGGAATGGCCACATACAGGATCTATGATTATCCACTGGATTAAAAAGGTGTGTTCACTCATCGAAGCTATCTTAGTGTTTTTGTGAGAAACTCCTTACGATGCATTTCTTCCATTAGGTTCTGCCTGACATAATATATTTTTGTTGCTACAGTTCCCGTTCTTCTGCAGTGATCGTGAATATATAATCGGTAGAAGGATATGGGAATCTGGGAAAACATATTACTGTGTAACAAAGGTGAGCTATAGAGGACCACATGTGAATTTGATTGTTGTCTGAATGCTTCAAAAACAAGTTTTAAATGACTGCTCTGTCTATACAGTGATTTTTATTAGTGCTTCCACCTGACATTTTTCAGACCTTTATGACCTGTGAAGTTGCTGTGTCTAAAACCTTTAATTAGATTCCATGAAGTTCATAAATTAACTTATTTGTACTGGGACTAAGTTATCCTATATTACATCTTTGTCATGATGGCTTGTTAGTTGGGTTATGACAACTATATATTTTTCTCAAACCATGTAGCCACGCATCATATTCACATCTTTAACATGATCTTCCACAGAGTGTACCATACCCATCTCTGCAAAGACGTGATAAGCCTAGGCGTGTGGACCTGTACTTTTCAAGCTGGATTGTTAAGCCGGGTAGGTAGCGCCATCACCCACGGATGTTTAAAGGGACTAACTTTGCAAATTTCCTGTTGCGTGTTGCATAAGTTGATTTACTCATTGTACTCGTGAAATGGTTGCAGTGGAATCAAAGAAGGGAGATGGACAGCTATCTGCATGTGAAGTCACGCTTCTTCACTATGAAGATATGGGCATCCCTAAAGATGTTGCTAAATTGGGAGTTCGTCATGGAATGTGGGGAACAGTCAAGAAGTTGCACAACGGCTTCAGAGCATACCAGAATGCAAGAAAATCAGAGGCAGCAGTTTCTAGATGTGCTATGATGGCTCGGATCACTACAAAGATCTCGCTTGATGAAAGTGTTGATGCTTTGGAGCAAGTTTCTGCTGAAGAAGATAGAGCTGTGGAAATTCAAGGCCAAAGAGGAGATGGTGGGATTGACTGGAAATGGGTGGCTATAGGAACAGTCGCTGTAGTTTGTGGCCTTCGTTCAGGTATGATAGGAAAAGCTGTGCTATTTGGAGCAGGGCAAAGGATTGCTCGCAGAGGCAGAAATGCTCAGTGAGGATTGTAGCAATTCTACCTTATTATTGTATGTATGCATGCATTATTCTTTATTGGTTTTAACATTAAAGCCTACAACCATCAGCGTGGAGAAAATAATTACTCCATGTACTCTTGACATAAAAAAAAAGAAAAAAGAGACCGTTCCTTTACACGGATCGACAACACAGTGTTAATGGTTCTTCTGACTTTATTATTTTATTAGGTTGAAGAATGGCTGCCGCTTAGAACAGAGTTGGTGCTTGGTTCAGTTTGAGTCGTTTTTTTTTTCTTTTCTTTCAATATATACAGTCGCTCAACCAACATATTAGTTTGCACTAATTCAATTAAATGTTATATGAAGTTTGAAAAATAATAAGTCAATAGCCGTAGGACGCATGACAATCTTGTCTTTGTATGCAACAAATGAAAATGGCCACCAACCATCCTTACATCCATCCACTGTGGGATACATTTTTGCAAAGCATAGACCCTTACTGAATAGGGCAACTCAAAAGAGGAGAACAAGGGTTCTTCTCACAACTAACCAAGAGATTTTAGTGGAATTGCCACATTTGAAATTGAGCACAGTTTTGGAAAGAAATAACGCACTTATATCGAAAGAAGACTTGGGAAACATGAACGAACGAAATAAAAAAGATATAGTAACATTAGCAACAAGAAGAACATCAATACACAAGTAAAACACACACGCATAAGGGAGGTGAAGCTTTAAAACATAATACACAAGTAAAATGATCAAAAAGACTTTAAAATAAATAATTGAGTCATTACACGCCATAAAAGTAAACAAAAATTGTATGATGGCAGTTCTTCCAAAATGGCTTGTCGTCTGGTATTCTAACTGAACTTTTAAAAATTCAAAATGCATTCTTCTATTGAGAAGCAGTGGTCTTCACATAGACTCAGGAAAAGACGATTGTCACTGTTCGCATTCTTCTGAATATAACAGGAAGAAACATGTATGAGCACTATCACACCTACAGGACTCTGGACCTAATTACTCCAAGCAAAGCCGATTCCTTGCGCTTTACAAAGGATTAACTAACCACAAAAGCCGGAAATCATAGTAATAAAACAGTAATACTGTAGAAACGGGCAAGGGGTGCAGCAGCAGGGAAATGCTACAGAAAAGGGCAAAAGGTGCAGCAGCAGGTCTCACCTATGAAATTCATCTAAGATTTTTAGTATCCAATAAAGCAAGCACATGTCCGAGCACTGGACTCATTCCCTCATGCTATCATTGTCATCTTCCGCCTCACTTAAATCAAGATCAGCTAACAATTCTTCCAATGGGACAGAAGGAGCATCATCGCCATCAGTCACAGATGCCATTTCTGATGGCTGATACTCCTTGTTACGATAAAGAGATATGTTGAACCTCAAATCTGGATTCTCCTCTAAATCTCTTAAGAATTGTTCATACTCAGAGTTCATCTTCTCTTCATGATCTCTACCCTTAACATTGTCATCAATCTCCATATTGAGAGATTTCAGCTTCCATGAACGAGGCTTCCCACGCTTCTTCTGCCATTTCTCTTCATAGCTCTTCTTAACCAGTATTACATCTGGGAGAACAAAGCCTTTATACTTATCAAGCTCACTATCATTACTATTAGTAGCATATAAGTCATACCCAAGTGCATAATCCCCAGGATTTAGAAGATGCCCCAGATGTGTTCGTACGTTGAAAATTGTGTCATTCTTTCCAAAATCAGATATACGAGCTACTTGGGCATCTGCCAATGCGTACTTAGATCCACCAATATTGACCTCAGAAGAAACAGCCTCAACATCTAGAACAATATATTCCACAAGCAGCCTACTAGAAAGTAGTGACTTAAAAGACGCCCTCCAGTATTGTTCCGCATCCAGAAAACAGTTCCTGAGAGTAAATGGGTCAAGTAAAGCAATGTGGTTACTCACCTTGGTGCAAATCACAAGTGGCCCTAGATTCCCCAAACTATTTGAAACTTTTGGCGGAAGACAAATCAAGTCCTCACGACAAACTGGGGAAATTTCAACTGAAAAAGTATACTTATAGTGGTAATTGTTGCTCTTGATATCATGAGATACTAGTTGTTTGTCATTACGGCTCCGACTGGGAACAACTTTTCCTATGAACTCCACAAATTTTACAGCATGACTCCGATTAGAGAAAAACATATCAATTCCTTGATCCATTTGCTTAATCATTATAGCACGAGAAGCAGCATCATGCTTAAGAATAAGCTGTTCCAAATAGAAGAAAGTTCGCCTGTGAGTAACGTGCTGCCTTAGTTGTACTGCAGCCACCCACTGATCAGGATTCGCCTGAACCCTCGTACAAGCTTCACACATTTGGTCTTGGATAACAAACTCAACTGTGTAGGCCTGCTCAAGGATAGCTCCGTGAAGAACCTCTTTCTGAACCTTCAACTTGACTTTGATTCTCTTGGAGTGAGGTTCAGTCCAAATGAACTCTGCCTGCACTAAACGGACTTTATTCAAATTCTTCAATCTCTTCACACAGAATGTCAATAGCTCCTTTGATTCTAATTGGGCTTTAATCCAAGTCCTTGGAGGTTGCAAATAGCTATCACATTCAGGGCAATGGCATATGATAACATGCTTCTGGAGACCTTCTGTTATGTCAATTTCAGACCTCAAGCAGTTGGCACACATATTGGCAGCATTTGGTTGCATACTTATACCACATTTGCAGCATAAAACATTTCCAATTGTATGATGCACGGTAAACATGCCTGTGTCTTGTGCCATGGCTGGTAAGAGACAGAAAAGGACAAAAAAGATAATGAAACGATGCACAAACAATTTAAGGTTTACCAAAATCAAACAAAAAATAACAATTTTAAGTTACAAAACCACCTAAAAAGTCTACAGGCTCCAGATTAGCATAGTCGAGAACAAAATTTAGTTCCAGTAATCTCAATGATAAGTGAAAAAGAAACATAAAGGTGCAATCCTTTCTAAAGCCATGACAAGAGATTTCTATTTTTCAGTTAACCTTTAGTTCAAGGAAAGAAGAAGCACAAATAAGTGCAACTCTTGAACAGAATTGATTTTAAAACTTCAAACTTCACCTAAATTTTAGATTCCCCATTAACAATTTCTTCTAGACAACAGCTTCAATAAAACCATGCACAGGATTTAACTTAATGCTCTCCTTAAGAGCAACATGGAATATACATACAAGTTGAAAAATTCATGGCTCCTAAAAGCAGAAACAGAATTTATGGCATCAAATCACTAATGGAGAAATATTTATTTAACCTAAAGATAAAAACTTCAACACAATGATGAAACTTACCTGAACAAAGACAGACGAGCAGCAGCGGCAGCGATAGACGGACGAGTTGCAACGGCGGCAGCGACAGTAGGGGAGTTAAATGTAGAACCCTAAAATTAGGCCCAAACAATAAAGAGTGAAACTCAAAGCTTCAGTGATAAGTTGATGACGGCTGAAAAGGACAAATTATGTAATTAACCCGATTATTAAATAAAAACGGAAAAAGGCCAAGAATACCCTAATCTATTAGAAATAATAACTCAAAAATATCCCTTTTATTTTTACTTTTTTAATCTAAAAATACTCTTTTATTAAAAATATCCATCTTTTGATCTAAAAATGCTCTCAATCCATTTTTATTGAATTGAATTTTTTTATTTGTTCTAAAAAGACTATTTTTTTATTTATTCAAATTTTTAAGATTAGTTCATCTCAAAATATTTAAATCTAACGTAAAATAAAATAAATAATTTATTGTATATTCTCTAATATGACGACATTAGGAATGCTTTTAATGTCAGTGAATTTTTATTTTATTTTTAAATTCAATTATTAAAAATTAGTATTACATGTGACCATAATTATTTGTAGGATGATATTAAAAGTACAGTATTTTTCCTAATTTCCAAGTTTCTACCCGTCTTTTTAATTAATAAATTTTTTCATTATTTTGTACAATATAAATTTATAAATATCATTTTTAAAATTTCAAATTTTTTTTTATTAAATATAATTAGTACGTAAATGATTGAAGTTAGATTAATTTTTCTATTGTTAACAAGAAGCAACAACATAGTAGCCGGGATAATAAACTAATTTTTCTATTCAACAACCATTAATTCTTTTTGTTAAAATTTATTCATATCAAATAATTTATAATTGTCATATGTTATTTATGAAAAAATAAATCAAAAAAAAGTATTAACTACTGATATAATTAAATTTTAACATGATGATTTGAATATAATATAAAAAATCAATTCAAATAAACTAAAAAATTATTTCACAAATTAAAACAAACAATAATAATGTATAAAAAGTAAAATAAAGAATTTATTGTGTAAAGATGAAGAATAAGAATTTTATTGTATTCTTTTAAGTAAGAATTTTATTTTTCATTTTACACAATAAATTATTTATTTAGACTTAAATATTATGACATGAACTCATCTTAAGAATTTGAAGAAATAAAAAATTGTCTTTTAAAACAATAAAAGATGTACATTTGGTCCTTTACTCTAAAACTAACATATTTATTGAAAAAGTGTGTGTTAATCTAATCATGAATTGTATGTGGCTAACATAATTCATTATTGTTGTCTTCGTTGTTAGCTCCAGCAAAAGAATTCCACAAAATTTTACACCATTATCTCTACTTTTCCAACAAAATTTACTATTTTCTCTTCTCTAAAATATTATTCCACTTACATAATATCCTTTTCTATTTTAAGTAAGAGAGAATAATAAATTTTGTTAGAGAAAGTAGAGACAATGGTATTAGATTTCATGGAATTCTTTGTTTGAAACTAACAAAGAAGACAATAATGATGTATTTTGCTAGCCACGTGAGGTCCACAGTTAAGTTTAACACTTTTTATTTTGATAAATCTGTTAGGTTTAGAATAAAGGACCAAAATGAATACATTCTGTTATATATTAAGGATCATTTTAATTAAGTTAAATATATTAAGAATCAAAATAAACACATTTGTCATATATTAAAGATCATTCCGATTAAATAAAATATATTAACGATCAAAATAAAGTATTGCAAATACATCAAGGACTATTTTGATCATGTTAAAGCCTCTATGTTTTGAAGAATGGCAAAGTAAATAGAACAGGTCGTGCATACGTGATACAAAAGTATTCTGTCAAAAACGTATAGCAGTAGAAACGTATAGCAGTACGTATAGCAGTAGAAATTCAAGGTTAAGGAAGTTGTCTTAATCAATAAGGAAAACTACTATGTGTAAGGTTTCTGTGAAAGAGGTTGAGTACAAATAGGAGTCCAAGTTGAGGTCAGGGATAAAAAACCACTGTGCTTTTAATGCATTCCTATCCATGATGGAACCAAAGAAGATCAGTGAAGCTCTCTAAGATGCAGATTGGATTATGGCTATGGAAGAAGAACTAAATCAGTTTGAAAGGAGTAAAGTTTGGCATCTGGTGCCGAAACCAACAAATAGAACCATAATTGGTACAAAGTGGGTGTTTCGAAACAAGTTAGATGAACATGGTACAATAATAAGAAACAAAGCCAGGCTAGTAGTCCAAGGGTACAATCAAGAAGAAGGGATAGATTATGATGAAACATTCGCACCTGTGGCCAGGTTAGAGGCAATCAGATTACTCATTGCATTTGCATCACACATGGAGTTCACTTTGTATCAAATGGATGTAAAAAGTGCATTTCTTAATGGTTTACTAAGGGAAGAAGTATTTGTCAAACAACCTCCTGGTTTTGAAAACAATGACTATCCTGACTATGTCTATAAACTTGATAAGGCTCTTTATGGGTTAAAACAAGCTCCAAGGGCATAGTATGATAGGCTGTCAAGGTTTCTCTTAAGTCATGGCTATTTAAGAGGGAAAATTGATGACACCCTTTTCTCAGAAACAAAGGAAAGGACCTACTAATAGTACAGGTGTATGTAGACGACATCATCTTTGGAGCCACAAACAAGACTCTCACAAACGAATTTGCCAACCTTATGAGCAACGAGTTTGAGATGAGTATGATTGGCGAATTGAACTACTTCCTAGGGCTCCAAATAAAGCAAACACAATCAGGTACCTTTATTCATCAGCAAAAGTATGCCAAAGAACTACTCAAAAGGTTTAACATGGAAGATGCTAAACAAATTGATACCACAATAGCTACAGCTACAAAATTAGACTTAGAAGGAACAGGTTCTGCTGTGGAACAAAAACTGTATAGAGGCATGATTGGGTCTCTCTTGTACCTTACAGCCAACAGACCAAATATTGTGTTCAGTGTGGGATTATGTGCTCGATTTCAAACTAGTCCCAAAGAATCTCATCTCCAAGCTGTTAAAAGAATTCTCAGATACTTAAAAGGAACCACTGATTTGGGACTATGGTATCCAAAGAGAAGTAACTTCGAATTGGTAGGGTATGCCGATGTAGATTATGTTGGTTACCTTGCAGACAGAAAAAGTACTACAAGTATGGCTCACTTTCTTGGTTCATGTTTAATCTCTTGGGGATCAAATAAACAAAACTCTGTTGCATTATCCACCGCAGAAGCTGAGTATGTGGCAGCAGCTTCGTGTTGTGCTCAATTATTGTGGATTAAACAACAGCTTAGGGACTTTGGGCTTCATGTTGAGTGTGTCCCAATTTTTTGTGTAATACAAGCGCAATAAACATTGCAAAGAATCCTGTCCAACATAAGAGAACAAAACATATAGACATCCGTCATCACTTCCTAAGGGACAATGTAGAAAATGGGCAAATTTCAATGAATTTCTGTGCCACTGAACAACAAATTGCAGACATTTTTACAAAAACATTAGCAAGGGAACACTTTGAAAGGAACAGGTTGGAATTAGGAATGATGAAGATCACCTGAGTATCTCTGCTCACGAACGTCAACTATGGCACTTAATTAGAAAAGGGGCAAATGCTAACAGGTTTTAATATTCATAACGAACTGTAACTAACGAATTCATCATTCTCAGGTAATTAGGAACTCAAGGACTTGGACTTCAAAAATTCATCATCCTACACTAAAAGGTATGTCTACTATACTTATTTAAGTAAGACCAAATTATTAAGACTTGTGCACTGGTACTCGTTCCCGCATTAAATACCAGTCAGCAGGATTTTTTTAAACCGCCAAAATAAAAATCAATCTGACTCCTCCATCAAATCAACCTGTTCCTCTTCTCCAAAAACCCTTCCACTTCCCTGTAATCATTCTCAAACCTTCTTTATTTTTTACTCTCCATCGAAAACCCATTTTCCTTCATTAGTCTCTTCCCTATATTCATCAAACCCTATTTTCAAAACCATGGCATCCTCCTCAAATCTAAACCTTGCCCTTATTCCCTTTGAAAATCCAGAAAACCTCTTTGAACTACCTGCTGTCCTGTTCATTGACCCTTGCGGAATAACTCATCTTACATATCCTCTTATGGAAGAAGCATTAATTCAGGGGGAAAGAAGAAACCCGAGTTTGGGGTCTGATTTAGGAGATGAAATGATAACACTTAGTGAGGGGGAACAAACATTCTCAAAGGAACAAGCATATTCTTCTTGTGACGCCGACGATGATATTCCATTGGTCCAGCTGGTTTCTAAAAGGCTTCGTTCACGACTGCGTCAAAACTCTTGTCGACCCATTGCTATGATTCTACCAAATGCTCATGCAAGTCGTATTTCTAACCCATCAGTGAGGGCTCCGGTTCGAGTGACTCGATCTGTACAGCGTATTCGGGACGCCATGCTTCTTGATAAATCAACTAAGATTACTCGCCCGGTGCAAAGTAAGTTTGTTCTACCTTCTAATCCTATAGAGATTGATGATGATGACATTGAACCAAAGAAGAGTAGAAAACGAAAAAGAAATACATCTAAATCGAAAGAATCTAGTCCCAAAGAAATTGTTGAAATTGACTCTGCTAGGGTACAATCTTTTGGGACAAGAAGTGTGATTCGGGGTAGGGTAATTACTGGATTTGGGGGTGATGAGATGAGTGAATTACTGACACTTGTGCAAGCCCAAGGATGGACTGAACTACTTAGTCAAGGAACAGTTAGGCGTAGAATGGGTAGAGAGGAAACCAGGGAGTTCTACCTTAATGCGACAGGGTCTGATACGTCAATTTCAAGTACTGTTTGTGGTGTTTCATTCACTCTCAATGCTGAGATTTTATCCTCTATACTCGGGGTACCAAATAAGGGATGAGGTCACTACGTTAAGCGAAATTGGCCACCTCTGGAGGGTAACATCTCTGCTCTTGAAATATGTCACCGATTCTCAAATGATCCTACACTGACTGATTATACCAGAGTTGATAAAGGAGCTATGCTACCCTTGCATCGTTTGTTGTTTGATGTTGTGCATAAGATAGTACTACCTCGCAAGCAAAAAAGGACGGAGGCAAATTATTTGGATCTTACTCTTATGGAGTTGTTGCTATCTAAGATCCAAATTAACTTACCTGCCCTGATTCTCAGTCATATACATAGTTTATGTGTGTTTGATAAAAAGGAACGTGGACTGGCGTATGGGTTCTGGCTTGGTATGGTGTTTGAACATTTTTGTGTTCCTGTTAGGGAATGGCAGATTCAGACCATCAAGGATGTCTTAGGGGTTGTGAATCATGAAACTATACCTGCTACAGAGAGAGGGGCAAATGCACCTATGCAAAGGTTGAGAGCCTCGTTGACTGCTAAGACTGAGGAAATTAATGCACTAAAGGTTTCTCACTCTGCTGCATTAGATAAGTTGCACATTGATTATGGTCTGAAGCATGATCGATTAGCTGAGGAAAATTCAAGGCTTAAGGAGGAGCTTGCTCAGACTCAGGCTGCGTTGAATACTGAGAGATTATCTAATTCCGATCGTCTGAAGCACCTCTATGAATTGTTAACCAGAGACTTATCTTCCTCATCCTCTGCTTTACCACCATCTGTCTAAACATCCGCTTAGTGTGCTATGTCTTGTGTTTTGGGTTCTCACTTTCTGAAGTCTTTAGTAGACATTTCTATTTTTGTGGCTAATGGTTTTTGTTTCTGATCTGTGATGTAACTAATGACTCAGTTTGGTGTGTTTGTTTTTATAGCTTCTTGTGATGTTATTGCTTCTGGCTTGGATAAATCTTCATTTTCAGATTTTTGCCTAATGTCAAAAGGGGGAAGGGTCAACGTGCATGTGGTGATTACCCGTGCATATGGTGATTACCTGTTCGATGCAAGCGGAAAGAATTTGCCATAGTCAAAAAGGGGGAATTTGTTAAAGCCTCTATGTTTTGAAGAATGGCAAAGTAAATAGAACAGGTCGTGCATACGTGATACAAAAGTATTCTGTCAAAAACGTATAGCAGTAGAAACGTATAGCAATACGTATTCAAGGTTAAGGAAGTTGTCTTAATCAATAAGGAAAACTACTATGTGTAAGGTTTCTGTGAAAGAGGTTGAGTACAAATAGGAGTCCAAGTTGAGGTCAACAAGGCTTTGTAGCGGCAAAGACAAAGTTGAGTCGAATAAGGACTTGCTGGAATTCTGATCTATAAATAGAGGGTTATTTTCTTCAGAAAGATTGCGCACTTACATTGAGAGTAATATCAAAACACGATCAAAAGTTGAGAGAGTTTTGATTTTTATTTTTGGGAGTGCTGCGAGTTGAGAGAAAAATTGTACGATTGCAGTCAAGAGTTTTGATTACAATCAAGTGTTTGTAAGTAAGTTTCGTTTGACAAGTTGAATTACTTGAAGAACGTTTGAAGACTAAAACCTGGGGGTTTTGTCTTGGGTAGTTAGGAATTAGAGTTTATAATTCCTTAGGTTACATAGCTTTGTAATCGTTGTGTTATTTGAAGGTTTTTAAATAATATAAAGTCCTGAGCAAGTTGTTATATGAAATTATTTATTGTTAAGCTTCAAACAAACAAGAACAAGTAGTCATTACGTGTTCCTATATAGAATTCAGGAGGGTAGAATTCCAACAGATCATTTTCTTTGAAAAAAACTTCACCAAAATTTGAAAGGTAACGAGTGGAAACCAAGGAAGAAATCATGGTGTTCAAAATCAATGAATTGGGTCTCAAGAATTTGCTGGAGTATTTCATATTAGTTTGCTTGGGTTTTGTCATAATTGCCATTACTCAGTCATATTAGAAGTTTTATTGATAAACAATCAGTTATGTATTTCAGTTTTGATCTTTATGTCACTTTATAGTACTTCAAATATGTCAAAAAAAAATTAATAATTCTTCTTAAATGAAAATTTTACTTTTTCTACAAATAGTATTTAAAGAGGAGAACAAGGATTCTTCCCACAACTAATTACGAAGAAAGCTTATTTCTCGAGAAGAGATTAACAACAAGAGGAACATCAACACATAAAGAAAAATGGAGGTGAATATTTAAAACATCAATACAAAAGTAGAATGACTTCACAAGTAAGTGAAAAAGGTGGAATTCTTTCTAAAGCCATGACAAGAGCTTTCTATTTTACAGTTCATGGAATGAAGAACGATTAAGCGCAACTCTTGAACAAAATTGATTTAAAACTTCAAACTTCACCTACATTTTAGATTCCCCATTAATAATTTGTTCCATCTTTCCTTGGACAACAGGAACAATAAATAGGAGAAAACCATGACTTTATGCTCTCCTTGGGGCTGCTCAATGCCAAAAATGAGGTATCCGTCTTAGGTCCCATCCTAAATTCGAGGATCTCTATTTTAAAATAATAATAGAATTATTATATATATTTTTTAACAAAAATAAATAAATTATATTGTGTCTTTCTTTTAGTTCGTTTTGAAACATTAAAGAATGTTTCTTTCTTTTTTGTCAATTTTTAAATTAAGCTTCCACCTAACATGTTTAAGACCTCAAGATAAAATATTTTGGTATATATATATATATATATAAATTTGGATTTCAAAAATAAAAAATAATGGGAAAAAAGTCTGAAATATATTCGAACTTTGACCGAAATTATTGTAACAATCCCAAACTTTGGGCAAGACTTATTACCCCTACACGATTTAATAGTATATTTTAAAGATATATAAGTGTCCAACTGGACAATTTATTATTTATAATGATCAAATGGATTTGAAATACTTAAGTTACTTTTGTTTCAACTAAGTTATGACGCATTTATTTTCTTTATCTCAAATGTTAATTTTGCTTTCGTTTGTTGTATGAACCCTTTCGAGTCCATGGCGAACTTCCCTTCTTTGCATTCTCGAGATGAGCCATAGAGGATCAATTTTTTTGGTCATCAAGTCAGTCTCCACTTTCTGTTTGGGTCATTGGAAGCAAAATGTAGGCTGAACGTTGAAATATAAGCCTTCAAAAAGTTGAAAAATAGGTTGTATACACTAAATATATACATTGATATACAGGTTGAAGATAGATGTACGAGGCTGAAAGTTTATACTACAGGTGTTGAAAGCTGAAGTGGGCTGTATACATTTGATATACAGTAAAAATGACCAAAATACAACCTATATATAGTATACAACCAGTGAATACATAGATTTCAAGGGCGAAAATGGGGCAAAAAGCCCCCTAAAAGTTTCAGCAACAGATTTTGATATTATTCGGCCAAACCCGCCTATATTTGGCAGCCCTTTGTTAGTTTTAGGCAGAACGAAAGTTGAGTCAAAATCTCAAAGAAAAATCA